TTTTGAGATGCACGTATAGTTATGTTAACTATATAATTTCACCAGATAAAAGTTATTAATCATTGGATGTCTGGATGTTAAGTTATCTGCTAAACAAGCTAAGCTAACGTTAGCAGTAGCTTGTCCATCAGCACCAAGGGACATAGTTGTCTTCTAAGCAGTGTTAAAAGCAAAACTGCTTGATTCAAAATTGTATCACCATTTTTTACCAATCTTATTTTTTGGAGAGGAGGAAACCTCTGCAGATAATTCGGCTCCAGTTAAAAATCTCACAATGATTTTTTCATAACCAGGAAGAGCAGACTGCACACTAAGGATCCAAAGTTTCTTCATGACTCCCCAAACTCCTTCATGATTGAGTGACCCCATTGCGACTACAAAAAACGACATATTGTGCATTTAAACTAAAACTCTTTCATACTCTCATATCCTGTCATACAAATCAAGCCACATGGTACAGTTATTATGTATTACAATGATGTAAGATTCATCATCAGAATAGGCTTTTCCCCACTCTTGTGTAAGCATATGAGTGTGTGTACAGGAACCTGAGAGAGTGGGAGCGTGCATGCTGCTCTTGGCATACTATTCTCAGTCACCCACGCAATGAAGTTCACACACACTCACACACACTCATAACATACACACGCAATATTAACATGCACGAGAAAAGCTGGATAACCCCACAGGCCTTCAGCAGATTGTTGGCAGCCACTCTATGCCTAGGGGGCCGATAACACAAAATAAGACCCTGGTAGAGTGCCAGGTAGTACTCTGTGAACAAATACACGCAATAATTCTGCTCTGAAACACGTTGATGGAAATGGCAAGAACTGGAGCAAGCAAGCAGGCGGATAATTTGAGTACCAAATGTCTTTTGCTGTCAGTAACTTTCTCATCTCAGGCCATTTATCCAAAATGTGCCAATTTCTTACAATATTCCACATCTACTGCATCAAAACTATGGCTTATACTTTCTGTATTTTATTTTTTAGCTTCACTGCCACTTGTTCTTTCTGAGTGTAATAACTGTATGGTTAAATATAATGAGCTGAAAGTCAGATTTAAGTGAGCGTTGATGATTTGTGTCTCGGAGGTATGTGAACTCTGTGACTAAGGCCTCTCTCTCTCTGCACTTGTGTTGTGTTCCAGTGCTGCAGACAAGAGGAGATATGACAGTTCATTTCCTGCAGTCCTCTTTCTCCTCTTTCTCTCCTCTTGCTCTGGGTTATAGCTGCAGCTCTATGTGTGTGTGTGGTTGTGTCGTATGTCCGTTCCATCTATACAGGCCCTTTTTGTGTGTGCATCAGCAGAAATTGATCCCCTTTTACCCCCTTATAAGCACATACACTGTTACAGTCTGACCAGGCTTCATCGACCTGAAGTGTGTGTGTGTGTGTGTGTGTGTGTGTGTGTGTGTGTGTGTGTGTGTGTGTGTGTGTGTGTGTGTGTGTGTGTGTGTGTGTGTGTGTGTGTGTGTGTGTGTGTGTGTGTGTGTGTGTGTGTGTGTGTGTGTGTGTGTGTGTGTGTGTCCTATCCCCTGCATGCTGTCTGGTCCCTAAGTGATTACATTGATGGAAGGGAGGCGCAGAGCTGCTGGTAATCAGTCTTCGGCTGCCTCAAACCTGACAGAAAGACACCCGATGAAAGGGCGACACTCTGCCCCTCCATGCTGCAGCCCTCCACTAACATATAGGTTTACCTTTAATCATGCCTGAGTAGATTTTAAAATCATACAACAGCAGGTGCAGAGAGTTGCGGCATCAATCTCGGCAATGACTGGGGGGCTTTATCTGCTTTGTGACAAAAGGGTCAGTGCCAGAGTCAGAGGGCAGATTGCAGGGTCAGTGTGAGGTTAGAAGTCAACGCAATCTCTATCCTGAGGGCAATCATTCATTATTTCCTTAATCTCACCTTGAGCCCTTCCCTCCACCAAGAAGCCAGCGGTGGAAGCTATGTTCTCTTCCCTGACAGCATCTGTCCCCTGTTTGGAAAATATGTCATACAATTGCCCTGATTAAGTCTGTGTCCATCATAAAAGCCACATGCTTAGAGAGGTTGAGATGGCTTCTAATAAACCGTTGCATCCTGCTGCAGATTGTCACCAGAAAAGCAGCCATCTTCCCCATGCGGCCTCTCTGCTGCCTCCTGTCGCTGCTGCTCTAACGTATGCAAAAAAGGAGCTGTGAGGCATCATATCTCTCACTCATCCGCATTTCTCTTTCTACATACCCATGCCTCTTTCACTCTGTAAGAGGAAGTAGCTATGCTCTGCAGGGTGCAGTAGCTCGCAGGAAGAGAGAGAGAGAGTAGAGAGAGGAGGGGGAGGGTGCATGCTGGCTGATAACACTTAACCACAAATGGTTGAGCGAGGCTGCTAGAGTTAGGGAGCAACGGGAGCAAAGACGGGCAGAAAGAGTAAGGAGAGGAGAAGAGAGGAGAGGTAGGAAGCGAGAGAGGAAAAAAAGAGAGGATGAGTGGGAGGCATCTGCCTCTCTGGTAGTATTGCCAAAGCAACGTACAAGAAGAGGTAGCTCGGGTCTATGGACGTATTGTTGCTGCAGCCAAGAGATCTTCTGCGGCTGTTTACTTCGGAGCGGGGACGGATGGATGCTCAAGCACATGAATGTCGGAGTTGAATTGAACCTCTCTTTGTTTCCTCACAGCCGGTGCTTTCAGAGACACAAGAGAGCAGGATGTGGTATTGCATGCATGCCTCTATTAGCGTTGGTTTGCTGGTATGATAGGGGCTTTCAGGTGAGCAGAACTTGAAACCAACCTGTAAGCTGACTCCATGACCCCAGCACACACCTAAATATGTGTGTGTGTTCCAGAGATGGTTGCATACTCTGTATGAGTTTTAGCATGTTCAGCTGCAAATGACCAGGTGCATATACTCTATGGTCTGTTTGTGACACCGGCGTCAGAGCACACACAATCGCGTCAGGAGGAAGTGAAAAGTCTCGCTCTCGGATTTCCTGGTCCCCTCTCCGGTGGCACGCAAAGCACCGAATCTGAGCCGTGTTCACCTGTCTCGCCCTCACAGGCGGGACTTAAACTCTCCTGGATGCATCAGCAGAGGAGCATTGACTTTTTCTGGATGTGTAGAGGACAGTTGGAAGCGGGTGGACTCTGATCGTGGCTGAGTGTCACGTCACTGCTGTGTTTTTCGAGATCAAAAAGGACTTCCTCAAGCTGTCAACGTGCTGTACCGGTGCCGGAGGCCATCTCTGGACCTCTCCATGACTGTCAATGCAGTGCTGACCCCCTCAATGACCAGCAGTAACAGCATGAGCAGCGGGTACTGCAGCCTGGATGACGAGAGTGAAAACTTCTCTTTCTTCACAGCCAAGACCTCGTTCTTCCGCAAGCCCAATCATACACCTAAGGTACAGAATCAGGGCAGCACTCACTCTGATAGATGAAACTGTGAGAGTGAGACAAACTCAGATTACGGCTTTTTCAGATTGGCTGGGAACCAAACAGCCATTTATATCAAAAACATGCTACTCGAAAGCAGAAGTGTGTACAGGAAGTAGTGATGTGTGCGCACTCGTAAGCAGGCCTGTAGGTGTGTGAGAGTGTAGGAAGGGGTTACTGTCAAACCTCTTTTGTGAACCATTGATCTGCCGGCCTTGTTCAGCAGCCTTGATGCCTTTAGGCAGCTCATTTATCATGTGAGGGGCTAAAGGATTTAGCATCAGTCACAGAAACAATATGTGTGCAGTGTTTTAACAGAGAAACTGAGATAATGACGTTAACCTACAGATTCCATAGAGTCCTTATCTCTACATTGCGTGGGAGAGGTTTCCGTAGAAACAAAGCTGGCACTTTTGCACTAGATCTGTGAGTGTGTGTTTTTGTGTGTGTTTGTGAGGGGCAACTACTTAACTGTAGAAAAACCATTTTCCTTGTTACCATAGCAACTTGTGGGTTTGTTGGCACACACTTCCTGATACTTGTGTTTGGTCTACTGTACATTGTGTTACCTCACACATTCTGTCAGATACTGTAACTCTGGGACAGACCGTGTTAATCACACTGCAGGGTCCCAGGATGCACAGCAGGTGAATATTTTGAAGGATGACAGATAGAGAAGTGTTCCTGGATGCAAGAACAACCCTGGAGATACAAATTGACATTTGCATTAATGTAAAACACGCTCAGCAGCCCTCTTCCTGCTGTCCTCGTCCTGGCGGTGCCTTTGGTGTCTGACTTGGAGAAGGTATAATCCCTGAATAATTGACCAGCTGTGTTGTCAGCATGAGGGGTTAGGGTTGCTGCCACGAGGGTATTGAGGTTAGCTTGTCTCGGCTGCCGGCACAGAAGCTGCCAGCTGATGGTGCCTGATTTCTACGGCAACACGCAACCAAAGACAAATGATTTGACATATTAGTAGCTATACCAGTACAGTAAGAGAAATAACATAGGAGGGGCTGGTTCTTGAATGCATCCACTGGTAGAGCATTCAAAGTAGACATGCAGCGCAAGTGTCCTTTTTCTGTCTGACTATGAAAGGGTGAGGAAAATATCAGAGTGGACTAGAGACATAGTCATATATTTTGTTTTAAAATAATTCTAAATGTGTCACTGTGTTAAGTCGTCCTGCATACATGCTCAGGGAGATCCTTACGTTCATCAAAACAGCGGAAGGAGAGCTCAGACCTTCTTTTCTTTATGAATTATTTCCAGAGCTGAGCCTTTTGCTCCAGTTTAGCCAGCCAGCTGTAATGTGTGTGTGTGCATGCGTGTGTTCGTGTGTGTTCGTGTGTGTGTGTGGTGTGATGGAGTGATAAGCAGGGGGCCTGATCAGTTTGTCCTTTTTAATGTAGTAAATGTGAATGAATGAGTTATATCACTGGTATATAAAAAGCAGATACACACATACACATTTACATGTACACTTCCGCAGAATTTATTTTATTGCACACATCACGTAACATTGGTAGGAAACAGTGTGTAGAGTGTTTTTGTTATAACGACTCCTACACTCAACAACATTTCAGAGGGACATTTTTTATGTTTTTAGATGGTAGTTTTAAATATTTTGTTTAACTTTACATTACAATGCTTTGAAAAGTTGCATTAGCACCATAAGGACCCGAAAAAGCATCAAAGGATTGCATGATATCATGTTGAATATCGTGAAAACAATATCCCTGGCGATATATAATCAGGTACGAAGGTTCAGTTCTGCCTTCTTGCTGCTTTCAGAATTCTGCCTAGATCATAGACTGTATATATAAAGGCCTAGATACAACTAATTGCACCAATGAAAGAAAATGCTGCTTTCTACTGATACTCAATTTCAACTTTTAAAAAAAACTATAGCTGAGTGTAATGTAATAGTCTTTCACAATGTGTTAATAGCACAATGACGATTTAAAGAAACAATATATTGTTTACATAATATATAGTGCTGAGTATGGTAAACTCGTTTTGAAATAAGCATAGTGTCAGAGCATTTTCACTTTTGCTGAAGTGTGTGTGTGTATTGTATGTGTTGAGTGTTTTCCATGTCCTCAATCTTGGCCAGTTGTAACAGATCCTAGAGTTTAGTCTTACCTGAAGATCATGATGTCAGCCCTGCAGACACACACACACTAACACACACTTGGAGGTTTGCAGTCAAGAGTTTGGTCAGGTTCACAAAAGCCTGCAGACACACAGCAGGGTTCGGCACATGGTTTAATGCTGACTATTTGCAGCGACATTTCAGAGAGTCATGACCTCTCTTGTCTGATCTCATCAGAGTGACAGCATCAACACTTACTCATGTCCTCCTGAGGGGTGTGTGTGTCTGCATGGCATGTGTGTGGGAGTGTGTGTGACCCTTATGTAACAGTCCTAGATATCTTACACACTTAAGCTGCTTTGCATCTATCTATCTTAACATCTATCATTAAACTGGATTAACTGGCCTGGTCCTGTGCTGTCACCTGTAATATTGTTATCATCAGATATTTACCGAATACTCAGTGGACACTTTACCAGAGGCTGATTTTTTGGGGGGTAAAACGGACATTTTGTTTTCCTATTCTTCCAGTTAAGAGAAAACATTTGACTTCTGTCATTAAATATTGTTTGCCCGAACGTTCTGTGCCCAGCACGGTTTGTGTGCTAATTGCAGAAAAACCTGATGGTGGTTCAATTCAAAATATAGGCATCAATTGCTTTTAACTAACGAGTAATAGATCTTTGGAACCAAAGATGCACCGTGGGAATGTAAATTATTCCCATGTCACATCTTTTTATTAATTAGCCAAGGTGTAACTGCATTGAGAGTTTTCAGTGTTTTTACCTCTCTCTTTATTCATTTGTCTTGCTTGTTGTTGGCTCCCTTGTGACCCGGTCTAACAAAGCAGTGTCCCAGGACTTTGTGGAACTCAGGGGCGGAAACTGCTCTATTGTCCCCTGACCACTCTCACTGGTATGCAGACCCGGAGGGCAGGGCACTGCCTCCGATACATTTAGAAACTTGCATACAAATACAGGAATTCCTGCAAACTCACTTTGTTGCCATAGACTGGGAGGAATCTAGAAAACAAGTCAACTCCTCTGTATCCCCTCGGATTAATATTTTCAGCCTTGATTTTACCACCAGAGTTGTGTGGGTTTTTATTATTTGTATTTATATATTCATGATGCAGAGATACAAAACCAGTGTTAACTGGTCAGAGTGTAAATTCTTATATGTATTTTGATTTGTTTGTGTCCGAACTGATACCGGTTGTAATCATTGCATTTGTGACATGCTGTGAGCATAATAGCTCTGTTGTTTCATCGCAACACGGACAATTACTACGATAGAAGGAACATGATGACAGAGGAGAGGCTGATAACAATGTGTAAGAGATAAAAGCAGCAACAAAAAGCTATGTTCACACACACACACACACACACACACACACACAGTGCTGTCTGTCTATCTCCAGTCGTCAGCCTTGACATTTTAACTGTTACATTTTCTTCCCCTCTCATGCTGAATGTCTGCAAGGATGAGCTCAGCTACCCTCGTGTTGTTTGTGTGTTATTGGT